TTTTATCTCAGATATTTTTTTTGGATACTTCTAGAGTTGTTTTTAGATGCTGTCAAAACTATAGCTGCAGGTAAAGCATTTATAAACAACATATGTTGCACTTCCTTCCAAACAACATATTTATTTCTAGACATTTCAAATCCACCCTTTTCCCCTTAAACCATCTTGACTTTAGGCATTTTAAAACATCCTTAGTGGCCCAAAATGTCAATACTTGTGCCTTTAATGGCAACATCAGATGTCTTAATTTCTCCTTTGACCTTTGGCATTTTAAAATCAATATCCCCTTCAAGTTTTGGGGCTTTTTAATTTAACGTCAAAATCTGGGCTCCCTAATTCTGGACCTTTGATGTTCAATGTTTGACAATATCTGCTTTTCAGAGTGTTGATGTCAACTTTTGGACCCTACTTTTGCCCCTCTAATCCCAATAATGGCTTCCAGCCCTCAGCTCTTCAGCTGACACATCATTCATCTCAGCTGCATGCACTCCTGCCTGCATTAATGCCCTCCAGAAAGCAGAACGAGTAAGTTCCTGCATGTTTTTCTGGCCGTCCCTTCTCGGCCCACGACCCATGGGTTGGCCAAATGATTTTTTCACAGTTTTCAGCTCTGTGCTCCTCCTTGTGAACGCACAGCGAGCGCACCCCTCAGCACATCTCTGCTCGCACTCCCACAGGGTCACCCAATGACCCTGTAAATCAGAGTCCTCCGATGTTATCTGTCGGGCTGTTTCTACACAAACTTCAAACAACGGTCTCGAGTCTTGCAAAGCTCTGAGTCGATGTGCTGAATTCATTACCTGACCTCCACCTCTGTCCAACAGCCTCAAAACGCGAGCATCTGTGGGTTGTGATATTAAACTCGACGGATTCCATCCGTCAGCCAACCTTGCAACATAAGCTCCGAATCGTTCCGGCAAAACATCACGCTCTTTCTTCCTCATTTTACGCCTGCATACCGCGCTCTCAGCTACATTAATCAAGCGGTCTAGCTTGCACTCTGTCCGCACATCAGATAACAACTGTTTTCGTTGTAAAAACTGTTTCTCTTTCTCCTGAACTTCCTCAACACATTTCTCTTTTTTTCTCTCAAATTTTCCTCGCAACCGGGACACCTGCTCCACCGCCCCGTCAGCTACACTGCTCATTCTCACAAACTGAGCACCGAGCCGTCCATTCAACAAGCAGGCGGTCCTCACATTCTTGTTTACTCCATTGAGCCTGTAATTGCATTTTCTGATTTTATGCTGAAGTCCTGTCACTGGTGCCATTTTTTTCTGACCTTTATTGCCTGCAAAAGTGGTCAAAACATCACTCGGACTATCTGCTTGCAGAAAAATTGTTCTAATAATTAAGATGGGCTTCTTCACACCTCTTCAAAAACAATAAAAAAACAACTGGGATGGGATTTCTTCCCATCCCGGTACAACTTTTTCTCCGTTCAGCTCACGCCTCCTCAGGCGTCTGAATAAACTTTTTTTCTCTGTTTTAAACTCTCACACAAAGGCTCGGGCGTCCCCTCCACCTCTTAAACACAAAGCCAGGGTTGGATAACTCTTCCAACCCGGCACAACTATGCAACTCGCATTCTCTCAACACTCTTTTTTTTTTTCCTTCGTTTGAATATGGTGCAGCCGTTCAGAATTATTTATTTAAATTCTTAACATCCCATCCTCGTCGCCAAAAATGTATTATGAAATTCTTTATCAAAAGGGCTCGTTGAACGGTCGGCACAGATTATTCAGACAAATAGGGAAAAATAAACAGAAGCTGTCACTGCTAGGATAAATTAGTGTCCTTTATTATCCTGCCAC